GGCTTCGGCGGCGGCGGCGCGGCGCGGGCTGCCAAAGGGCCCCGAGGTGCAGTGGCTTGCGCTGGAGCTGGAATTCGAAGGGTTGACCTGTGACGTCATCGCCGATGACGCCGCGCTCGGCGCCCCGCCCGGCCCAAACGGCGGCCCTGCGCTGCACACGCGGCTGCGGGTTGCGTCGCTGCGGCTGCGGCACGGGGAGGGCAGCCATGGCGAGCAGCTGGCAGTCGCGGCGCGCGGCCTCGACCTACTAGACCTCATCCCAGACGCGCCGCGCTCGCCGTCGCTGTGGCGCCTCGCCCGCGGCCTGGCCCTCCACAGCATGTCGGTCTCGTCCGGGCGGCGGCTGGGCGCAACCGCCGCCGTTGCGCCCGCCGCGAGCGGCGTTGAAACGCGAGAGCTCTCGGTGTCGGCCGACGGCGTCGCTCTGCGCGGATTTGCGGAGGAGTGCGGTGTATTCCTCCTGCCCTCCCGGTGCGACCTGCCAGGGAGCGTTGAGTTCCGGATGCTCCAGACGCGCGGCGCCGCGCGGGGAGGGTCGCTGCGGCCCACGAAGCGCATCGAGGTCGCAGTGCGGGGCCTCGCAGTCGGCGCGGACGCACCCCTGAAGGTCGCGGCCGCGATCGAGGCGGGCAAGCGGCGGGGGCGGCGGCGCAGCAGCGACGGCAGCGGGGATGGGGCGGGGCCGTACGAGTCGGCGTCGGAGCAGCGACCGCAGCCGCGAATGCAGCCGTCGCCGCCGCCGCCGCCGCCGCAGCAGCAGCAGCAGCAGCAGCAGCAGCAGGAGGAGGACAAGGAGGAGGAGGAAGAGGATGTGAGTGTGAGCGTGTCGGTGGTGGTAGAAGCGCTGCAAGTCTTGGTCACATCCACAGACGCCCCGCTCAGCACCGCAGCGCCCCCGCAGCCCGCGCACCCCCAGTTGTCCGCCCAGCTCTCCCGCGTCGCCGGGGTGCAGCGGCGCTCGACCCTGCCGCACGCTGGCGTCGGCGCCGCGGCGCTGCTGGCGCCGCCGCTGGGGGCGGTCGGGTGCCAGGCGCTGCTGGAGCTGCCATACCTTTCTGCCTCGACGGGCGAGGAGCCCAGTGCCGGCGCCGCTGCGGAGGCTGCTGCGGCTGCAAGTGTGTCGCCTCTGCTCATGCCGCGGCAGGGCCAGCAGCAGCAGCAGCAGCAGCAGCAGCAGGGGCGGCAGCAGGGGCGGCAGCAGCGGGGGCTGTCCGTAGACGCCCGCCACCTGACTCTCCACCTTCCAGAGTCCAGCACCAGCGATTTCTTGGTGCCGGCCCTCAGGGTGCCGGCCGTGCGTGCCTCCCCGGCCACGGCGGACGGGGCCGGCCTCAGCGGCAGCAGGAAAGGGGCAGCCGTGCTGGTGGACGTGCCTGGCGTCGGCGTCGCGCTGCGGCCGGCGCAGGTGGCGCTGATCGGGGAAGTCGCCGCTGCAAAGGCTGCTCTGATGCAGCTCTGGATGCCGCCACCTGCGGGCGTGGCGGCGGCGGAGGCAGCACGGGCGGCAGCGGCGGCGGCCGAGCGGGAGCCGTTGGGGCCGCGAGGCGCGGCGCGCGTCGAGGTGGGCAGCATACAGGTGGCGGTGCTCCCAGAGCTGGGCGGCAGCGAGCACGCGGTTGTGCTGACGTGGCGGGGCTTCGCCCTGGATTACTCAGGGTGCGAGTCAGGGGAGCCAGGGGCCAACGACCAGCCGCGGCAGGGGCGCGTGTCGGCCGCAGGAGCCAGTAAGGAGGGGCGTTGGCAAGCGCGGCAGGAGCAGCAGCAGCAGCAGGAGGAGGAGAAGGGAAGGCCGCAGGCGGAGCGCCTGTCGCTGGCCGTCCACTGGTCTGTCCTCGAGGCGCGCCTTGTCAGCGTCGGCCCTCAGGGCCCGCCCGCCCCGCCGCAGCGCGTCCACGCCCCCGGCCTGCCGGCGATGTGCGCACTGCTGCGCCCCGACGCGCCGCTCGGCCGCGGCGGCGGCGCCTCTGCCGCCGCGAGCGCCGCTGCGGGCGCGGGCTCGGCAGACGATGCGTTCTTTGACGCCCGAAGCGTCGCGACGGCCCTCGGCTCGGGCTCCCTGAGCCGCTTTGCGTCGGCCACCTCCGAGCCCTGGCCGTCCCTTGGGATAGGCTCCCTAGCTTCCGGCGGCTTCCACTCCCCGAGGTCGGTCATGACGTCACTGAGCGGCGCGACCGCCGGCCTGGCCGCCGTCCGCGCTGGCGCGGCGGGCGTCGAGCCCGCGGGCAGCATCGTGGCGGCTTCCTGGCAGCTGCTCGGCACGTCACCGCAGGCCGTGCCCGGCAGGGGCGGCGGCGGAGGCGGCGGCGGGGGGTCCCTCAGCTCGGGGTCGCTGGGCGGCGGCGGCGCGGCGGCGGCGCGGCAGCATCGCGCGCGGCTCCGCAGCGGCGGCACGGGCGGCGGCGCCGACGGGTGGGCCGCGTCACAAGGCCGTGGGTTTGCCCAGAGCGTGCGGCGGTCGTCGTTTGATGGCGCCGCGACCGAGGCGGACGTCGAGTTCTATTCTGTGGTGGGCGACTCGGATGACAACCCCGAAGATGAGATCCAGGATGCCATTGCAATCGGCGCCGCAGGCGGCAGCAGCTTTGGCGGCAGGGATGGCTGGGAGCACGGCGGCAACAGCGTCGGCGGCGTCGGCGGCGGGGGCGCGACGGTTGGCGCAGGGTTGGGTCTAGGGGACCTGCTCTGGGGGTGCGACGGCGTCGACGGCAACGATGGGCCGCAGGGGCTGCTGCTTTTTGCTTTGACTGCAATTGACGGGCGGCAATCGGAGGCGGAGCGGTGTGTTGGGAACGAGGAGGGCCAGCATAAGCAGCAGCAGCAGCAGCAGCGCAAGGAGTTTGCCTCGCCTTTTGCTGCCGCCGTCGCCGCAGAGCAGCGCCGAAAGGAGCAGCGATCCCAGCTCGGCGTCCTTGCGCCACAAGCACTCCTGCTGCGAGCCACGCACGCACTGCAGGGGCCAGGAGCGCCCCTGGCTGGCCCCTCCTCACCGCCTCGCGAGCCTGCGCTGCCCTGCGCGGGTCGCCGCTCGTCCACGCCGCCGCCCATCACGCCGCCGGGGAGCGTGCCGCAGTCTCCGAGGGCGCGGCGGCTGGCGGCGCCCGCGCAGCACGCGGCAGCGTCGACCGCAAGCGGCGCGGGGGCCGCGCCCGGCTCAGCACTGGCTGCAGGCGAGGGGCTTGGTGGCAGCGTAGAGGGGACAACAGCCGACGTCGCGAAGCTGCGGCACTTGCCCCCATCAATGGCAGCTCCCACCTCTGGCACGGTCGCCGCCGCCGCCGCGGCCGCAGAGGTGGCCGCTGCCGGCCCGTTGAACAGCGGGCCCGACGTCCCAGGGAGCACCCTAGAGCCCCTGCCAGGCTCGCCGGTTGCAGCAGGCAGGCGCGGGGGCGACGGCCCTGCGCCGCCCTGCTGGGATGCGAGCGCATGCGCGCCACAGCTCAATGCAGCAGGCGCCGCCCTCGCCAGCCGGGCGGGCGCCGGCGGTGGCGGCGGCCGCGGCAGGGCGGTGTCGGCGACGGAGGTTGATTTGGAGTTTGCTCGCTGGCAGCTGCTGGTCTGCGTGGGCGACTGGGACTCTGCCGCGCCCTGCATGGTGCAGTGCCTGAACGCCGCGCTGCAGGCAGCATATGCAGCGGGTGCGGTGCCGCCGCCAGAGCCGAGGCCAGCGCCGCGGGAGGACGAGGGCGCGGCGGCGCCCGAGGCGGAGGCGGGTGCTTTGGCGGCCGCCGCTGCGGAGGATGGCGGCACCACCTTTGCTCTGCGCGCCTCGCTGCCGGAGCTCGCGTTGGTGGTGTCCTTCCCTGCGGCAAGCGCGGCCTCTTCGGAGCCGGCGCCAGCGCTGCGGCTCCTCCTCGACGCGCGCGCCTGGCTCAGCCAGAACCACGGCGCGGCAGGGCCGGCCGACGCCGGGGTTGCGGTCGGCCGCCTGCTTGTAAGCGCAGGCGCCGCGTCGGCGGCGCAGCTGGAGGCGGG